GTAATGAATTTTAATAAACATTCACATAATGAAAAGGGAGAGTGATAGGTAATTGTTTCTAAATTACCTAATTAGCCAAAGCACAAAACTAAATAAAAGAGCTGAAAATTAAAAAAATGAATTACATTTTCATTTGTACATTTTTCATTTCTGAATACAATGTACAATCTGGGGATCATATTTGCACCGCCGACTTTAACAACTATTCGAAAAAGAAGTTGTAAAGTGGAAATAAAAATAGAGGAACGTGGAAACATGTCATTTTTAAACTAAAAAGGGCCACATTTGCTGGGTTGTAGTAGTCGTAGTGCGCGACTTAGGTGGGAAAATGAAGCATTCCCCAAGTAGGGCAAAGCAAGGTAATGATTTTTTATATTGTACATAGTTACAGACTTGCCAGTGATATGTTATTGAATATTGCATTAAGAATGTTCATGAGAATGTTTCCTCCAATTTAACTCACCGTTTTTTGACAACGCAGCTCGTATAAACCTTGCTGTGGGATAGAAAAACACACTTATGATGAAATCTGTGGAATCATCAGCCTCCACTCCATAGTAATCAATATCCATGTCTCTGTAAAAGCGGGCTCCAGTGTTGACATGAGGGGGTCCACTAGCAGCATTCACAATGTGTGTGATCCTCATATTATACACCATTGACTTGTCTCGTGCCGCAAACCTGAGAAAACACAAACACAGCGAACATCTGTAGTTCTGTACATTTTCATTCAATTTCCATTTGAACAGAAAACATAATACATACTCATTGCCAATGTACACATTAGGCCACACTTGGTTGACATGTCCAGTGGGCCGTCTGTCAGCCAACAGGAAGTTCTGCATTTCGGCAACGGATGGTGTTTCATAGGCACACAGCTCCTTGAGAGACATCCTGGCCCAAAAATATTTTTAAAAGTACATTTTTTATTTAAAAATTGCAGTACGGTTTTGGATATTATCACGTTGCCTGACATGCAGTTCAGATGCATTCTCCAGTAGCCCATCAAACTAGTTGAGCCCACGTGAGGCCATTGCTCGTGAAATCTTCTTGTTGCTAAGAGGCTGAGAGTGCATTGACACTCCACTTCAGCTCTTAACATCATTAAAATGAATACTGAGGGCTTTTTATGGACTATCATTCCACTTAGGATTTCTTGACTGTTGTGGCAAATGTGTTTACAGCTCAGGTGTGGGAAAGAAAACGTGCGACGACAGAGCCGTGAGTGATTGAGTGAGGTTAGCTTCTGTAATAGCTCTCAAAAACACCAAAATGTTACTTTCTAAAAGCCTCTAAAATCTCCTCTCCTTTTGTGAACTTACATTTTGCAGCCGGTGGCCCTTTTTTTCCCTCGTTCTCAGATTGCCTGCTCTTCTCTCCTTGGTCAGGGACGTTGTCGACAGCCAGTCCACAGATATGTCTCTGGAGGCTGTTTCTTTTTTTAAATGGTGTATAATTATAAACCTCCCTGGATACAAAGACCTTTTCCGGGTCTTAGTGGGCAGTCAGGTTTGCTTTTAGAAGACTGTCTTTCCCTAGACAATGATCTTTTGAGCATGTTCTGCACATATTGTGTATATCTTGGCTAGACTCCCAATATTGTAAATCACTCTTGCAGTGCAGACGAAGGTAAAGGTGGGTCATCAGCGGCTTTCATTGCACGCATGCATCTTTATCATGAGTCATTGTGCAGGGAAATACACATCTCATGAGGTCTCGCCAGCTGCTAGGTTAAACACTCTTGAAATCCAGATGTTCCTTTCATTTGCCTTGAGGGCGAGTCTTTGATAAATGGTGAGATCTTTGCACATGCAAGTACAGTGACATGTTCGTAATTGGAGCGTATCAGATATCCCTCTCAAAGATACGCTGTCTTCTTTGCACTCCAGCTGAAACTGTTTAGTTAGTGCTCAAATGCTTCAGTAAATAGGCTATATGTGTAAAACAGGAAAAGACTTAACTAAGAGTTGTTCTTTCCATGCCGGTAAAATAGGCTTTGAGCCCCGTAGTAATTATGGTTTTATGAAGCTAATAAAAAGGAATTAATGGCCTAGGTGTGAAAGCCGCATACACCTGTTCTTCCTCAAGAGGTGATTATTACTTACTATTATTGAAACCTCATACTGTATCAGAAGAATCACAAAAACACATAGTATGTTTCATGGAATTTAATAGACTTTTCTGTTTCTTTTTTTAAAGTCCTTGTCCTGGTGAATCAAAGAATACACTGTGCATTATAATGACTAAGCTTGGCTTTCTTTAATATTTATTTGGAAAAGCAGCGTATGTAATTTGTATTGAGTGGTCCAAATTTGCCAATTTCAAATTACCGTGGTAGATCCAATCCAAGAATCATTCAGACTGCTTTTCTTTTGTGGTTTTTGAAGTCATGGAGACTTCCTGAATTCACTCAAAAAAAATGACCATAAAGACTTAGAATGTTATAGTTTCCATTTAAAATAAAATTGTATCAGTTTCCACAAAAATATTAGACAGCAACTGTTTTCAACACTGATAATAATAAGAAATGTTTCTTGAGCACCAAATCAGCATATTAGAATGATTTCTGAAGGATCATGTGACACTGAAGACTGCAGTAATGATGGCTGAACATTCAACTTTGCCATCACAGGAATAAATAACAATGTAAAATGTATTAGAAAACAGTTTCATTTGTAATAGTGTTTCACTATTAAACTGTTAGCCTAATGGTTAGAGAGTTGGATTTGTAACCCAAAGGTTGTGGGTTTGAGTCTTGTACCGGCAGGGATTGTAGGTGGGGGGAGTGAATGTACTGTGCTCCCTCCCACTGTCAATACCACGACTGAGGTGCCCTTGAGCAAGGCACTGAGCCCCCAACTGCTCCCTGGGCTCCGCAGCAAAAAATGGCTGCCCACTGCTTTGGGTGTGTGTTCACAGTGTGTGTGTGTGTGCACTTTGGATGGGATAAATGCAGGGCACTAATTCCAAGTATGGGTCACCATACTTGGCCACATGTCACTTCACTTTTTTTTTTTTTTACTGTATTTTTTTTACTGACTTTTTTCAAAAGCATATAAAAAGTTGAATATGTATTTAGCTATGCTTTACTATTGCTATTTCTTTAAAGCAGTTTGTTTTAGTTAAAATATATGTTGCTGCTGGGCTGATTTGTTTTTGTTCGTTTTATCTATGATATCTTAGTCTTGACAGTTTTCCTTGAGAAAACACTGACACGATGTAATCATGTACAGATGCATATGCTTTTCAGAGCACTTGTGTGACACTAATGTGGTCATCAACATCGCCCCCTCTGTGCCTCTGGTTCTTCCACAGTCAGATCAGGAGATGACTTAGCTTAGCTGAAAATATATACACACACTTTGGCATAGCTGCTTGCATCTGTTCTCTGTTTCTCTTCTCAATTGCTTCCATGATTTATCATCATACAGTGTATGCCAAGCTGCTAATCAGGAAGCAGAGTAGTGTCTTAATTGAATGTTCTCTGAAAGCAATGTGTGTCCAGGGACTCGTGTTGGTCCTGCTTCCTCTGGCTGCACAGCTGCAGGTCATGCTGGCTCGTCCAGTTAATGCTGTTACAGTTTTGGTAGGTTGGGTTATGGGGTCGTTCAAGTACATCTGCATGATGAAATGTCATAGACAATGTCATTTTCTTTGAATGTGGATCTGTTAATGTAGCATATGAAGGATATCAGATGAAAAGAAAAAGAAAAATATTATGGAAGGATACTCAGCATAAAAAACAGCAAGATTTTAATTAATCTAATTACACTGTTTGAAGAAAACCTTATTTGCAAACATTTCATGGCACAACACTGCGCCCTGCTGGAAACAGCCAGAAGCACAAGGGAAAACAAAGCAAAACTACATGAATAATGTTGTACTTTAGACAGGGTCATTTACAGTTTTAACTGACACATGCATTTAGTTCTATTATTTGCAGTGGGAGGAGCATGTCGCTTTTCATAGAGTATCTATCTGAAAGTGAGATAAATCAATAGAAATATATTACATATCATAAAACATTTTTTTTTTTACATTTTAGAAATTGCATTTAGTTTGTTCACAACTATTATGAGAATACAAGGAAAAAAACACACCAAAAACCAAAGAACTTTAAATTTTTTTTATTTGAACACATACATATGAATATTAAGTTTATTTGGCACCTTGTTTGTATGAAACATCTGAATGTAAATCCACTAGTGCCGTTGTTACACTTTCAAAAATACATAACGTAGGCAGATATATCTAACAGTGTAACAAATTCAATATTCATCCTGCTCATAGTCAATTGAGTCTAATGTGCAATTAAATGTAAGTATACAGTGCATTTAACTATACTGTGCATTTATACACCACTAAATATTCTCCAAGATAACAAAGGAACTTCTGTGAATCAATGAGCTGAATGAAACACATTATTCTGCTATTAAAACAAAAAGGTGCACTAAAATCACATCAGCGAATGCTGCTCAGTCATTTAAACAAGGCTTTTAGGATTGAGTCAACAGAAGAGTGTTGTGCTTGGCCTGCATATTTCTCCAAATGTGGCTGCCTACAGCTGAATAATAAACCACAATTCAATCATTTAATACGGCTTAATTTGGTATTCTACGCTGAATACTGACTCCACTGTTAAATATTATTTGCAGTGTGAGGAGCATGTGGCACTTGTGTGCTGTGGTTCATAGAGCTGCAAATTGAATATATCATATAGACTTTCATAAAAAAGAAACATTCTCATTTACTTTATTTACACTACAGTGTACATTAAAGTCACCCATGTTAATATGACTGAAAACATGTCAGATGTCAATTAAGTTAAAAATGTCTTAAGTCAATATTAAAGCTTTCATTCAATATTAAAGTGTTTTAGCTAAATTCTTAAACTATTTAATAACCTTGTAAATGTATGGAAAAGTACAAAGATGGTCTATACATACACTAAACCTGAAAGGCATAAGTTTTATATATATATATATATATATATATATATATCATAAATAATGTAAACATACTTCCTCACCCTTTAGTTATATAAAATAAATGCATGTGTATCTGTGTTCATGACATATGTGTTTTTCTGTCAGAGAATAGGACACAGCATTCGCTTTCTATGTAGCTGAATGTCTAAATCCAGGAGAAGGCTCAAAAAGTTCCTGTTAGGATAGACTGCTCGTCGCAGTACAACTGTTTGGATGGCAGTAGGGAGAGTAAGACGCTGACGCAGCATAAGGTATGCTAGAACCAGAGTGGCAGACCGACTCATTCCCATGATGCAATGAACAAGCACTTTTCCTATGGATAAAAGACACCATAATTGTCAGAAGCTGTTAATACTGAACCATTTCATTTTTCTGAAATATGGATATCTCTAATATAATTAATTTTCAACATGAGCTGTTTATCAGGTTTAGAGGGAAATTGAAAGATAAAGAGGAAATGCAGATTTTTTTAGAGTATAACAGAAGTAACTACAACAGAATGAGTTTCTTTTCTTTTTTTTTTTCAAAATAATGTAAAAGAAAACTATTTGTTGCATAACACAACAATTTTAGTTCAAACCATGTAAACACTGATGGTTTTGGTGTCATATGGGTTAGTTGTACAAATACTTATTGACTATTTATACGAATCAGTGTTGTACACTCTAAAAAATGCTGGGTTGTTTCAACCCAACTTTGGGTCAAATATGGACTAACCCAACTTTTGGGTTAAAAATTTAATGTAAAAATGTAACCCAACGGTTGGGTTAGTCCATATTTGACCCAAAGTTGGGTTGAAACAACCCAGCATTTTTTAGAGTGTAGTTTCAGAGTGGACTTCAGAATTCTCCCCAATGCATTTAGATTCCCATTTGTATTTTAGCATTACATTAATATCACTGACTGTGGTCACTTACCGTTCTTCTTCCTCAAGGCTTTGTGGATGAAATCAGCCGCCAATTTAAAGTACACACTAAGATCAAATGATGAAGAGTCTTCTGCTGGGATGCCATAATACACAATTGTATTGCCGTAATAACTCTGGTCCCCAATGCTGCCTTGCTTGGAATGGGCAGCATTTAAGACATGAGTGATACCCATTTTCATCAAAGCATTTCTATTTTGAGCAATGGCCCTATAGAAAAAGTGAAAGATGTGTTATGTAATGTAACAGGGCAACCACTATGGCAGTCATTAAAAGTGATTTAACGGCAGATTCGAGTTCACTAGAGGGATGCGCAGTGTATGATTGAATCTCAAACAAATAAGCTACTTTGGTAGAACAGCTTATTTTCAAGTCTTATTTTAAAATAACAATAA